CATCATCATCATCATCATCATCATCATCATCATTTTACATGTTTAGTAGTTTAGAGATAATTCTAGTTAGCGGATTGAGTTAGCAAAGCTAATTCTTTGCCTGTGCCCACCCCGGCATACTGACATTTTAAGGTCAATAAACAAGAACTGATGAGAGTTTATAAAGACTGAAGCCATTCTAAGTCCTGTTTTGGACCTGGCCTTGCAGACTAGCTCGTCAGTCTTTTGTTATAAAACCTTTCTACAACAGGTAAGATATTTATGATTAATAATTCATGGAGTAGGACTTGGCATAAAGGTTTCTTTATACAATCAGAAAAGCTGTTTCAGCTTCTTTTCCCACTAAATAACATTTCTTCTGAATAGCAAAACAAATTCATAGCTAGAAAGAAAGTCAAATAACTAAATAAATTGTTTAGATTTATCAGTATTTTTTTATTTTTTAGGATGAAGAAAAAAACACATTCTATTTTAGCACACGTCTGTCTTCTTAAACTGCTTTTAGCTACTACAGTCTTTTATTACCTCTGCCAAGGAGATTTTGTTTTCAGTGCTGTCTCTCAGTGACAGCCTATCAGCATCCAGCAGAACTATATTCCACCAGCAGCTGTCCTCTTTGAGTGCTTCTAGTTAATTACATTTTTAATTAAATATTCTTTGCTAATRGTACTTTTCAATGGTTTTGCAAATTTCAGCCTTTGGCTACAGTTTAGCACATTTTTCTTTGCTTATGGTTTAGCTCCTTTGAATCCTGTTAACGTTTAACAAAAGTTTTACTAATGTTGTCTCTTATAGCAAAAGTTTTTCCTWATGTAGCTGTCAGCTAAAATTTTGCTTATTGCAATTTGTAGCTGTAAACTTTAGCTCATTATAGCTTTAAAAGTTTGGTTAGTTAATTTTAGCTTATGCTGCTTTGCTACTTGTAACTYTTAGCTAAACTTTTGCTAATTTTAGCTTTGAATTACTGTTAGGCCAATTATAGCTTTTAGCTAAAATTTTGCTAAATGCAGTTTTTTGTTGAGGTTTTGCTCACTTTAGCTTTAAATTTCTGGTTTGCTAATTTTAGCTTTTAGACAGTGTTTTGCTAATTATACATTTTAGCTAAATTTTTGCTAGGTTTAGATTTCAACTGCTGTTTTGTGAATTTTATTTGTCAGACATTGTTTTGCTAATTTTAGCTGCATCTACAGTTCAGTTTTTAGCTGTTATGAGATCTCAAGGTATTCCTCGGCCAGGGAGGCTATAAAATCCTTCCAGTGAGTTCTGGGTCTGACCTGGGGTCTCTTCCCAGTGAGACAAACCTCCACAGGGAGTAGACATCCCCTCCAGATGCCTGCGCCGCCTCAGCTGACTCCTTTTAATGCAGAGGAGCATCGGCTCTACTCTGAGCTCCCACCAGATGACAAATCTCATCTAATCTCTAGCTCTGAATCTGGACACCCTCTGAAAGAATACATTTTCAGCTGCTTGTGTCTTGGATCTTGTTATTGAATCGACTTCAGTATCATCCAAATTGTTTTTCATATCATTTCATTTAATTGTCTTCCTCACGGCTGTGTTCTCAGGTGAGCTCTGACACGTCGTCTTGTCTTTGCTTTGCGTCTTGCATTAACATGACAATAAACCACAGATTAGGATCATTTCCCTGGAAGAACATCGAGATAATAAAAAGAAAACCACTCACCACTCCTTTCTGTGTGCGAGCTCCATGACAACCTAAAATAGATGAAAGTTGTTGAATGTGAAGTTATTTTTAGTTGGAGCTGGAGATGTTTACATGCCATTACTTTAAAATCACTGAGACAATAATCTAGAGGTTTGTTTTAGTTTGGCTTGTGTTTATTCCAAATTTAATAACCTAAATGACTTAAAATTAAGATAAAAAATAAAAAACAATAATTTAAATGTTAAATTACAAAAACTGAGCCACTTTTTGTCACCTTGGACACTACATCCACTATTCTTTGACAGAGTTGCCTAAAATACGTATTGTCTGGACGGCTTCCTGATTTCCTTTGCTCTTCTTTGGAGTCAGGAAAAAAATGGTTTCATTGATTTTGAAAGACCTGAGTCAATATGTTGGATGATAAGAGCCACCTCTGGCCCTCACAGGGAGCGAGGAACCTGTCAACACTGCAGCAAGGACAAATCAGACTGCTGCGCTGCAGAAAGTTTACAAGCAGCCTAATCTGAAACTTAAAATATCAGCATGTTGTTGGATCAGATAGATAGATAGATAGATAGATAGATAGATAGATAGATAGATAGATAGATAGATAGATAGATAGATAGATAGATAGAT